ACATCTTTCCGGGCTGAAGATAACTTACCTTCCAATATCTTGATCATAGACTCGAGTGATTTGATTTTCTTGGATTTTATATCATTCTCAGCTTTGGACTTTGCAAGAGAAATGTCTTTATTAGCATTTTCAATCTGTAAACGTCTAGCTTCATCAATAAGTTCGAGATCATGAGTACGTAATTTCTGGATCATAGTATTGGACCCACCCAGTTTCTGACTCCATTTTTTTCTCTCCTGTTCCCAACCTCTCCGTTCACGATCAAAATTTTTCTCTTGCTTTATGAATTTATTCCGTAACTCACTGTTATAGTTACGCAATTTAGAAGAGGATTGGAGGATACGATGTATTTCTTCCTCAAGATCTTTTACATATGTCATATCAAATAAAAGATAATATAATAAAAAAATATGGATGAATCTCGATACTAAATATTCATATTATATATACTATATGCACTATGCGTACTATGCGTATTATGTGTACGATGCATACTAAATTATCAATACTATACACACTATGTATACTACGCATACTAATTATCGATACTATACGTATTATGCATATAATATAATATTTTTTTCCTCAATAAATTATTGATATTACAGATATTACGGATATTACGGATATTATAAAAATAACATGGCTAAACGTATGCGATCCGATGCAGTTCCATTATCACCAGAAGATTATAAATTTATTATGCAATATCGTGATGTAAAACCCAAAACTGATGTTTTAAAGAAGTTGAGAGAAAAATACCCCATGACAAATAACCGTTTTTATAAAATTTGGAGAGGACAAGAAGTTAGTATGATAGAATGGTATCAGCCTATATCAGAATCAATAACACCCTCAAGTCAGGATTTACCTATATTAGAATTACCCTCCGAATCATGCTCACGAAGTATTGACCATACCAGCTCCACTGAAGAAACTAGTATAACTGAGAATTCTAACCAAATTAATATTCCGAACAAACAGGTTAAAAAAAGAAAACTGAGATCTAAATTGGTTCGAATTTCTGATTCATCTAATAGTGGAGCTAGTGCTAAGACACATATTATCAGCGGGGCCGATACACCCAATACCCTGACAAAAAAAGTGGAAAGAAAAGATGACCTATATGCTTTGATTGAGCAGGATAGCAAAGAAACAGAAGAATATGAACGTGAATCAGAAAGATTTTTAAATCCTAACTAATCTATCTTCACTTCCACTATATTGGTAATCTTTCCATTTGAGTCTTCAGGTTCATCTCTACGAATTCGTAATTTTTTATTGAGTTCTATTAATTTAACCTTGGATTTAAGTACCTCATATAGCGTTTTTTCTAACTCCTCATAGCTCATGCGTTTTTTTTTAATGATGGGTCATCAGAATCTAAGCTAAACCCACAGGAGTATGCCATTTTTTGAATGGTACATTATCATTCTCATTACTATCCGCTTCTTGAGAAAGTTG